TTTCTTAAATAGGTCTGATGTAGTAGTTCTTTACGTCGCTGTTCAGAGGCCAACTGTTCTTGGTCAGTAAACTTTCTACGTCCAGCCCCACCCTTGCAAATCTTCGTCTTAAAATCGATCATAATAGTTTTCGTAATCGTAATATATAGAGTATATGAGTAGTATTATTAGTATCACTTTACCTTGTTGCAGTTGTTGGATTTGGTACTTCAAATAGTTGATAACTTCTTTTTTCACTTTTCTGATGTTTTAGGCCAACTGTCAGTCAATTTTTAATAATGCAACGTGCTGCTTCTGGAGCAGTGATAATGCGACTGGCTTGGTAGTGAAGCGTTATTTGTTTACTCGGCATTGTTGTGTTGTAATCGGCATTGTTGTGGTCCACAACAATGCCGAGTAAACAAATATCTGTTGACATTGTTGATGACGTAATTTATTGAAGACAACGAGGAATCACAAATTTTTATAGTAGATAGAAGATGCGTCGATATTTGATTTACTGATTTATTTAATTACGCTTTCGATATATTATATTTTCTCTCCATTTATAGAGGGTATTGCGGCCGCCATATAATTTATATGCATTAAATGTTACGGTTATCCGGTACTTGACTGTCAAATTCAGTGCAGCGAACCTCTGTTAATAATACTGTCAGTGAATCAATTTATTCGGATCCATATCTTTATAATCCATTTCCATTTTAATGTTATCTTGTCGTCTTTGTCTCGAATAGGACGCTTGCCCGAGGTTTACTCACCAGTATGTTGCACACATTTGTTGTTTCCCGATCCCGAGCCCATCACATTCTGCTAGTAATACCGCCTGGTCTCATCATGTCGCAGAGATCCTTGACATGTGGGCCCTTTCCCTCCTAGGCACTGTACACTTTGTTTCCAAATACGTACATAAGGTCTATGATCTTCCCAGAACGTAATAGACATATTTCACACCCACACACAACATCGTGTGAAGTGACTGTATTCATGTTTAATGCTTTGCAAAGTAGACAGAATAATAACAGTTTTTTTAACAACCGTTTCATAAAATTATGCTCATTTTAACTTCATCACGAAATTTATTTTCGTTGTTACTGGATACAGGATTGTGTCATGAAATTACAGCACTACGCATCTATTGAGTTTCAGGGTTTGGGTAACCGGGGGATCCTTTCTTTTGTTGCCCAAGATACGATTTAAGTATGATTCTCTTAAGAACGAACCCAGATCTCTAGGAGCGAAAGTAAAACAACAGTTATCTGTTCTGGAACATTTGCTTTTCCCACCGAACATTGCGGTGTTGTTGTTAACACGTCTGCTTTGTTGCCCTGATCCAGACGCTCCGGATTCGACAGAGGTTGGAGCTTTCTTTCCATCTAATCATTCGCCAATAACTTTCCGTTCAGTGATTTATAATCTGTGCAGTTAGCACAGCGTCGTTAAATGAAACTAGAAGTAAACATTGTGTCTTTCCTTCGTTTATATGGTGTGAATAGGGCAGTCTTTCTGGTTTGATTGTACGTAGACTGGTGTTTTCAGACGGTCTGTACATTTGTGGGTGCTGGTATGCCTGGGTTTCAGAAGAGTTGTCGCCGGCAGGTTGCCGAGAGGGTATTGGCCATAGGCTGCGATTTCCTTCGAATTCTGGTCACCAGCTTATGTGTAAACAAAAGCCTGCATGTGTAGTGTTGGCATTTCTCACAACGAACTTCGCTCCGCTGTACTGAGCAGTTTGTTTATTCGCAGTTTAACTAATGTTTGATTTCTTTTGTTTCAGGTAAGTGCAGGTATCCACGGGGTTTCATCAAAGGTAAATAGTTCTCCAGACACTTATAGGTGTCATACCATATGGGAAAGTGGCTCCGGCTGCATTAACCCATAGGAAAAAGTCCAAGGCTTTCATATGGAAAGAGACTGGGCGGAACCCAGAGCCAGTCTGGACATACCGGCGTCACCAGGAATCGAAATTCGGGCTTATATCCTGTAGCCAAGCACTTTCTGATTGAACTGTCCCGGCTCGCATGAGGGACTGAGGAAGAACAGGAAATCTCAGCGAGGACCTCTCAAGTAGGAAGCAGGAGTGTCACTGTAGTTCTCACGAATTCCGTGTGTTTGTTCATTTGTCGATGTTTTGTCTGACATTGTGTCTTATTACACGCACTTGGATGAGTGTGATTGACGAGTAGGAAGGTACATGGCAGGAAGCGGCCGTTGCCCATTTTAAGGTATCTTCACTACGTCAGACGCTTTACCACTGTGGCAGTGTGCATCCAAAGTAACTTCTTTAATTCATGCAGTGTCGTGAACAGATGATTAACTGCTGCTTCCCGGATTGCTAATTAAAAAAAATCCCACAAACCAGGTACCCTTTCCTTCTGACTATACACAGAGGCGGCCTCCCTGGTGATAAATGCCATCTGAAGGGATTCACACAAAAGGTACCCTTGCCTTCTCCCTAATGACAGAGACAGAGCCACCCTCCGAAATGTCATTACATATTTCTTATCTAGGCAATAACCATGACAGCTCTCCATAAAGAGTTGGTATGTTCAACTCAGACAGAACGTGTGCAGGTGCAGGTATGCAGGTAAGTGTCGACGTCACAGAGCAAGAATGAGGCAAGTACCATTGCTGTGTTTGCCGCGTTAATAGAAACCTCCTTCAGGGAAATTATCTGGCACTTGTGCAATGTTGGTAACAAAGAAATTAACTTCGTTGCATAAAGAAGGGTAGGGATAAGCCAAGTACAGCACTACCTTAACACTAAATGGAGGTTCGTGGTTTGATTCACAGTTCCCACTGACTGGGCCATAAGACAATTCGGAGGGGGCATTTGCATCGCCCATTATTGGAATCAAACACCGCAACCGGAGTTGAGCTGCAGATCACAAGTCTGAATGGTGGTACACGGTGGTACAAGACCAATTTTTGGTGCACACATGAATCTGAAGAAGAAAATGAGTAATTTAAAGAAAATAGGAGTACGACGTAAATGTTCAAGATAAGGAGAAGACGAAGACGCGAATGAAGGAAGAATAGAAGGAGAAAAGGAAGAAGTAAATATGAGGAGAAATAAATGAGGATAAGAAGTAGAAGGGAAATAAATAAATGTAAAAAATAGAAGAAAGAGACGTAACATTTCAAGAACAATTTTCTTCAGCTGACATTCATGTGGCTTTTGATTTGTGTTATTTCTGGTTTTTTATGCCGGCCACAGTTCAAAACCTCACATCGCATGTTGATGCAGCGCGCTCAGGCGTGCGGTTTCCATTCGAAGGCTTGCTTAATATGGCTGGCTGTCTTGTCAATCTGCCTTCAAAACATTCGAAGCCGACTGCTTCTTTGTCATTCTCTGCTGTTAGGTGTTCGATAAACCTGCAGGAACTGAATATGTGGCAGGAAACTAAATAACCTGACTCCATGGCACAGGTGATTTCAGTCCAATTTACATTTTTGAAACCAAATTTTCTAAGATATATTTTAATATTATTCCTCTATTTACGTGTCGTTCTTTCCTTCAGATTTTTAGCCAAAAATGTTATTTACATTTCTTATTTCACCACATGGTTTACACAATGAAGAGAGATGTTACTAAGCACCACAGACCCTTATGGTCTCGGTTAATTTGATTTTTGGTAACTTCAATAAAATAAATGAGTCCCCCATCTCTCAACATGTGAAGCTAACGTTTCGTGTATTTTCAGCAGTTCAAATTATGTTACCGTGAAACTTTTTCATAATATAAGGTTTATTTGAATAAGACCCAGCACTCCACCGTACTTCTTTAGGAAATCGAAACTTTTACCCTTGAACCGAAAGCGGTTTGCCATTGTCAGTTGCTCATTTTATTTCGATAAGCTAAGGGTGGGCCTCTCAGCCGCTCGGGACGCAGAGGCTAAAAAAATCCTTTGTCCCTCCCGGGCACTGAACCCTAGTTCCCCAGTCTGTAGTCAAGATACTGCACTGACAGCCACTCCGGCTCATGTGGTTTTAAAATAGGAGCAGAATTTTTCTCTTTGCCACAATTGTGCGTAGGTCCCTCACCTGTAGGTATCAATAATCCTTCCCGGCAGGTAAAGGTGGCCAGAGCGTGAAGCTCCATCTAGTCGGCCAGGGGCGTATTTAGTGGGGGCCACCTTGAAATAGCTGGAACATGAAAAGTGCTGAAGATGACTCCCTTCTGGGATGTCGCGCTGTGTAGTTTCATAGAAATTGAACGCCTCTAAAATGTCGGCCAGTTTCTGCGAGACTACGCGGCGCAATATCCAGAAGACAGCCATCTTCTTATTCGCTTCTTTTACTTTGTTTAGAAAATAGACTGCGTGATGATTTGGCTATCAGATTAGGTGATAGGCGAATGTGTCTGGTAAATAGCTATTGGTACGCTACTGGACTGGATGGACTGCCCAAAGTAGAGGCCTGAGTCACTCTGAATAACACATTACCATTGAGATGGTATGCCCGTGCCTAATTGTCCACCAACACTCAGAAATAGATTGTTCTTGTTCCCAAGGTTGCAACGGCCCGTAGGGCACTTACCTGATGGAGGGGTTACCGCGTCTGCTGGTATAGGAGACCAGTGCAGGAAACCTGTTTTAACAAATCTCGACTCTTACAGACTGAAAGCCGATTGCTACTACTGTTCAGAAAACATAAAACTGCACCAGAGTCAGAACTTGTTTAATAATGACACTGTAATAGTGATGCCATTGTGTATAGTTATTCTGCTAGACCAGGTTTCAGACTAGCTAGACTACCGATCACCTGAAGACAGATGCAGACCCAACTTCCGAAACGTGGTTTAAAAATTCTCTAGACGATGGACAAGTCTAACATAATGGTTATATACGATGTAATAGTAGCTCATCATTCGTGTCTTTATTCTTCACGGATTAGGTCGTCTGGTCTACCAGATTGAGAATTCAGAACAGTCGCAGGCCGTACGTCACATGCCGCTGTGTTATTTATACCCTTCAACTAGTTTCATAAATAATATGTATGAGCTAGATGAAGCATCTACTACGAACTGAATACATGCTCATAAATTTTCTTCTGTACACCTGAAGGAGGAGAATGCTATGCAGACCTAGGTGGTATTAGGAAGATAATATTAGAATGGGTCTGTGTATAAATGTGTTAACTCAATTAAATTTGCTGAAGATAGGATCCAGTGGTGAGGTTTTGTGATCACGGTCATGAAGCTTTAATTGTTTGCCTGTACAGCGTCTCGAGACTATCACGCTGGACCTTGTATAGTGTCACGTGGCCTGTACCATGAGATGTAGTAATACTACTCTGTTTAGAGGTCGTCGGAGATAAATGACAAACATACCACTGAATCAGACGACTCATTAAATTGCTTTGCACATGTGGGATCTACAATGGCTATATATTCAAAAATACTCGTCGTGTCCAAACAATACAAATTTTAAGGTATTTTAAAATTGGAATGTAATATTTTATCATTTTCAGGAACGTGGCTGCAGTGAAGAGATCGAATTATTAGTTGTGCGCCTTAGATATCCTGCCCAGCATTCGTAACTGCTAAATGAAATATTAAATGTTAAATGGTATAAATAACTAACTGAATGTAGATTAACTAACGTAGTTGGCCAAGTGTGGTGGTTACCATCGTTCCTTAGAATTTTTTTTAACCACCTACAAGACTATGTACGAGTAATCCAAAAGACAATAGTCGACATGTACAGCACCGTGAGAACCTCAGATCTCAGACGCAAGTAAAGGTTTATACTCTTGAAGACTGCTGTCTTCTGGGTTGTTACGCCGTGTGGGCTGGTAGAAATTTATCGACGTTTCAGAGGTCCTTGCTGCATCCATCATCAGGGCGATGATTGTTTATACTCTTCATAATAGATTATTAAGGCGATGAAAGCAAGGGCGCTGAGATGGGCGGGGCATGTAGGAGGGATGAGAAATGCATACAAAATTCAGTTGGAAAACCGTGAGGGAGAGACCATTTGGGAGACCTAGGCATAGGTAAAGGGGTCATATTAAAATAGGTGGTAGAATGTGAGGGTATGGACTGGATTTGACAGGCTCACGATATTTTCTTGTGAACACGGCAATGTGTTCCATTAAATGTGAGGAACGTCTTGGCCACTTCAGCGGCTATCACGTCATCAAGGACTGTGCTCCGAGTAGGTAATGAAATGCAGAATAACGTGTTCTATCAAACTCTTCTTAACTTATGTTGCAAACGGAACTAATCACTAATTGAAACTAATGATAAAACATTTGGTGCGGGGGATGAGACATATAATGTGGATGGGACCGCCTCCTGTTCACACTCCTCACACACACACCCAACATTTCCGGACACAGACCGTGACCATCCCTGTAGCACATTCGATGTTTGAGTTTGGAGCTTACCTGGACTGACTGAAGCTCCTTTTGTCCCTTATTCCGTGTAAAATGGTACGTCATAAACACGGCTATGCTGCATCTAGCATAAACCCTTTCTGTTTTATAGATTTAGCTTACTCTTCCAAACAGAAACAAGTTAGGAAATGGTGACATTTCAGGTTTTTGTGGTGGTATGAACATTCTGTCTTCTAGGATGTCGCGCCTTGTAGTCTGGTAGAAGTTTACTGACGTTTCAGAGACAGTTCAGTCAGGGTTGTCTGTCCTCCGTATGATATATCCCGAATACAAGTCAGTTTATTCGTTCAGCTTGGTCTGTGTTGTAGTTTAATGGCGCACACAAATGGTCAGAATATAACGTCGAATGATAGGATTAATGAATAACGAATAGCAGAGGATATGGAAGGAAGCGATCGTGGCCTAGAACGTCTCGTTAAATAATCAGTGAAACAATATTATCATGTTATTGCACTCTGTGTACCTATTCATTTGAAAAGCGTCGTTAAATGCCCTAATAATCAATCAGTAATAATTATATTATTTAACGTTATGTGACCTCTGCAGTTAAAAAGAGTGTGGACATTAACTAACCAAACATCCAATCAGTAATAATAATCTCAGAGCTCACTATGAGGATTGTAAAGGCAGTTTTCGCCGAAACGAAGGTAGAAACAAAATTCGATTATTACGAAGAGAATGGGAGGCTAGGTAAAAGAAGGAGAGAAAGCAAGAATTCGCCAGTGTGTGATCCGTGAATTTCCAGGGTAACGGCCTATGATGGATTTTGTGTCTAAACCTGTTTATCTGTGACACTAAAGCAATCTTTATAGGATGAAGTATTGCTTCTAAGCAGAGACGTTAGTCAAGCGAAGATGGGTTTTCTTGATGGTTCAAGCAGTTAGCATATAACAGGACCACACATCTAATTATCATGTGAATGGAAGTAGGTTATTCACAGTTGCCAACTTAGGAACAGTCATGTGCAAATGCTATAAGAAGATGATATACTTTGGATCATTCTTCATAGATGGTTTAATGAAGCTGTATCTCCTCCTGGTCAAAGACTGCAATGTTTTTGTGGAACCCAAAGATTTGTTGTTGACAAAGGCTGGCTATTGACTCTAGCCTGAGTCACTTGAATCAAGTTGTCATTTTCAACCTGTATTTCTAAGGTCAGTTTTATTTGTATTCCCACATCTATGCCTGTGTCTCCCAAGCAGGTTCTCTCCATCCATTTTTTAATATGAATTCTATACTACAAGTTCATTATTTATTCCATGCATCATCTATGACATGCCCATCAAGTCCTTAATGTAATCACTGTAATGATATTAGGTTTGGAATGTGAATTATAAAACTCTCTGTCATGCAGTTATCTCCATAAATTTGATGCTTCATTTCTCTTGATTGAAAATATTTTGTCAAAGGATCTGTTGAAATCTGAGGCCATCTCTGTCAGTTTGTAACATGCTGTTATTTTTAAAGTGATAAGTGGATAGCCTTACATAGTCCAAGGTGCCTTTTTGTCTGCAGTGCCAAGTAAGTGCATGTACCCATAATTACAGCATGGCAGCCAGGAATTTAAAAATTCAGAAAATAAACTGCTATGTCTGTATCTGCAATAAATGGCCATCAAGACCAATGAGATAAACAAAATAGCAAATAAAACATTTGGAAAATGTGTCCTCCACTTTTGCACGCTTCTCATCTCTGGTAGTGGGACTGGGGAAGGAAGGGTTATGTATTTACATTACTATACAAAAGTGGTTCTGAACCCATGGTCTGCAAGCATACATGCAGCCCTGCAGTGTGTTTTGTGTGTTCTATATATATTTTTTATAATATGCAAACTATGTCAATCTATATGATGAAAAATATTTTGCTGATATCAAGGAAGAGCAATCAATGTAGGCTATAGCTTAATAAAGTACATCTCAAATTAAGAACTAGGATGTGTGTTACTGAAGCATACATGTGAATCACTATGAGAGACATTGCGCTTGATATTGAATCATTACTAAAGGAAAACCAGAATCAGATGTAACTTTTGACTGATTTTGTTAGTGAAAAATTTAGTGTTATTTGTACTTGTTTATGATTGTTCAGTAATAACATTTTTAATACATTGACTAGAAGTTTCAATAAATTGTTCTCGCTTATAATCTTTTGACCCTCTCATTGAAAGTGAGTGTGACTTTGATCCCTGGTTTGGTAAAGGTTGAGAACCTTTACATTAGAACTCAGCTTGCATTATGAAGTATTGCATGTACAAATGAAAAAGAATCATTATAGTTTAAAGATCAGAAGTTTTGTAAGATTTGAGGTTTTCACAGCGGTGAATATGAATGATGTTAACCAACGTTTCAGAGGTCATACTGCCTCCATCATCAGGGCAGTATGACTCTGAAACGTTGGTTAACATCGACCAGACTACACAGCGCAACAACCCAGAAGATAGAAATCATCATCAGAAGTTTTATTTGGACAAAAGAAAAGTGAATTTACCTTTGAACTTTGTATGATGACATTATTTTAAAAATGTCTGCTTTAATTATGGTATTTTGTAAGTATGCATAAAATAACATATAAGTTGCACAAAATATTTAATTATTACAATAGATGTGTCAGTGTGACCTGATATGTGATATTTATATTTTGACTTCTTATAACCATTTTTCTGGTAGTTGGAGTGATATTATAATCTACAGGGAGAAATCTTTCAGAACTTTGTAATGTACCACAGCAGTGACATATGCATTTAACATTTCCCATTCTGCAAACAATTTACGTATATCCCTTCACATTGATCCTTTCTGAATGTTTTTGGCATTATTGGTGAAAACAAACCAGTCCTGCCATCTGTTGACATTATAAGCTCAGCAGCAGCAGTTTATAGCAAAGTTACCATAAAAATATAAAACAAAAGAATGTCTTTCTCCTGAAAATCTAGCATGGAAAGGGCTAAGATTTGTTGTGTATTATTTTGTCCTTTTGTTTCTGTTATAGGAAGCTCGGGTTGGACCTGGTACCCCGTGTTGGTGCCCATATGGTTGATCCAGACACAATGAGTGTAGTTGAATTGTATCATGTGGTGAGTTTGTGCATAAATATTTGAGTTATAATGAATTTTTATTGATTGGTTGAGAGACTAGGTCTGTGTGCTGTGAAATCTGATGATTCATAACTGCTGGAGCAAGTATCCACTATTGTATCCTTCCTTTAATCAGCTTCTGAAAAAATAACTGCAACACTTCTTCCATGTCTTTAGAGATATGTAATTTATTACCTGTACCAACCTGAAAGCTCTTTTTGACCGTCTGCTTGGTCATCTTAATCTGCTTCGTACCCTGAATGTTTATAACTCTTTCTTATCATTGGCTACCTATCTTAGCCAATTATTTTAATATGGTTTTTCCATCTCTTCCTGTATGCTGTAGTCTCTGAAACTAGTTTTAACCTAAAGTTTCTCCTGTTTTTTCACTGTTCTTTTTTTATCTCTGTATTTTTATCAAAGAATCTTGATGTTTTTATTTATATCTGAATTTGCATATTTGTTCTGTAGGCTTGTTGTCTAATACAGTCTAATTCTTCTCTGTAAACATTTTTTATTTTCTGCATGACATTAAAAAAAAGGCAACTTTCATTGTGGCTTTTCAGCAATATATATTATACTTTGCCATGAAATTCAATAATAGAGGAAATCTGGCACAGAAAGGGTGAAAGACATATTCTATCAGTAAACATTCATAACAAGCTGTTGCATTGTTAATTTTTAAAAAAATTCCTATTTGTGTTTTGTCCATTCTGTTACTGTCTTCAACATATAACCTGAATATTTTGGTCAAGGGAAGGTTAACAGAAATGAATATATTTTGGCATTTCATTTGTAGGAAAATGTAAGTCACTAATCATGAAAAGATTCCATCCATTTTCATTCCCGAACATGTTTTTGAAACATTAGTTAAAATACGTGCCCCTACTTTGGAGTGGGCAAGGTGTTCAGAACTGTTACCATTGGTTTCCTTTTTCTTTACAGCATGTGCAAAGTGCAGAAAACTCACAAGGGGCCTCAGTGAGTATAACAACACTTTAATACATAAAATAGCAGTCTGACATTTAGTGTTAACAATTATGCACGTCCCATGTACATCAGTGTGAAGTTGTGTAACAAAAGTGGGAAGGTGTACTTGAATGCAATGTACATATTTTTCAGTTATGTCATTTGTAATTTACATTCCACCGTGGTCTTCTGTACGTATTTCTGTATACAAATCTACTGTGACAGAATGCTAAAAATTCATATCTCAGAGCAACATACAAGTCAACTGTTGATAGTTAGTTAGTTAATGTTGTGCCTGAGATGTTTTGTTTAGTGGCACTATGGTCTGAATCTGGTATTTAAGATCAATGAAAAAAATATACTATGCTATCTCCCAACAGTTAAATCTATTAATGATTTCTCAGCAATAGAACTAATATGTTATTACAGAAATATATTAACAGGAGAAGGTTTCTAAATAAGAAAGTCATTATGGGAAAGGTTAAAATAAAGAAAATGTGAGAAATGATTAGGAAATTACATAATGGATTATGTCCAGAATATATCCCAATAATAAAAGATCTGTGATAAATCCAGGTCACTGTTCTTGATTCTTATTTGTGTTTTCTTGCAGGCACGAGGCACAATGAAGCGTAAGGAAGCGAGAAAAGTCCACACACACCATCTGTATTTCTGCATGCGAGACTTTGGGCACCATATTGGAGAAGACACAGAAATGTACTTCTCATTGTATGATACTAAGAAAGCCAAATATATAAGGTAAATTCATTGTTTCACATTATGAAAAAACATGTTTGTAACAATTTTAGTGGGGCATAATTCAATTCAATTAATTTATTTACGTGTTTGCCAACAGCAAGAAGCCAATAACAGGCAAACACTGATAATACATACAATAATAATGAAATAATAATGAAAAATAGTACACAAACAGATTAACTAAACTTATACATGTACAGTATTAAATATAACTGCCAAGTACAGGCAAACCCAAAATAGAAACAATATTA